AAATATATAAGGGTTAAGCTCCCGAAGAGAAAACAAATAACATTATCAAAAGTTAAGTATGTTGTGTTGTTGAAATCAATACAATTTTGATGGCAACATATAATTTGTTGATTAAAAAGGCATTTCATACTAATTCGGGCTATCAAATATTAAAAATCTCATAATATTACCTAAAGTATTGCTAATAAATATTTAAATTTCCTCGTCGGCTTTGCTTTAGCATGCTTTCACAGAACTAGCCAAAAATCAGGTTGAAGTTTCGCAATTCGCATTTCTTTTGTTCTTAGCTCAGCCCAGCAAACAAACAACCAACAACAAAAGCAAAACACGGTCACGAAACGGTTTTCATTTTATGATTATGGTGCGATCTCGCACCGTGCTTCATATTGACAGCGTTACACAGAGAGAGGGAGAGAGCAAGAGAGAGAGAGCGAGGCAGAGGAAGAGAAAGAGGGGCTCGGGTTGCGCTGTGGCTCTGTCGTAAGCCGCCAACGTGACCAAGACAAGTTTGGTTGGTTGATTGTTGTTGCTGTTGCTCGCTAGCAACAGTTTGACCCAATTCGCCGTCCACAGTCAGCTCAGTCCGCCGCGAACAGCTGTGCAAATATCGCATGGGCGCCAATGGGTTAATAAGCGGGCGCCTCAAGCTTAGCCAGTAACAACAACAATTGCAAACTCATTGAATATGTAAACTAAGCCTACTCGATGAATTTTTTTTTTGAAGACAGCAACAATTGTATTGCGAAACGCGGCCAAGCGGGGCGGGTGACAAAGAAAGCGGCGAAAAAAAAGCAGCCAATGTGGAGTAACGTTCGTATAGGTAATGTAGAAGGGAAAGGCAATAAGAACGGAAGCACAAAATGATATGCCTGCAAGAACACACTCACACTCGCACACACAGCCACAGATAGAAGACAGAAGCAAATACAGTGGAAAGCAACAGCAAAAGCAACGTTGTCAATATGCTATCGCCCTATCTCGCTCTTGCTCTCTCTCTCTCTCTTTTTCTTTTGCTCACTTGCTGAATCGTTCTGTTCTGAGCGCTTCTTCTTCCGCTGCGTTGGCAGAAAACAGAAATAAAAACAACAACGACCCCAACAAGAGCGAGGACAGCTATGGTCTGCGTCCGCTCAATGTGATTGATGTGTTCGCTGCGATTGACAGATCTGCGGCGAATTACGCATAATGTGAAAAGAGATGTGAGCGACTGCCAGTCAGATAACATAGATGATGATTACTCTACAGCTCTCTCTACAGCTGCTGTTACACACACTATCTCGTTCGCACGCGCGCAGAGTGTTTACAGTTCAAAGTGTCGTAAGCAGCAAAACAAAAAACACGCTCACTTTACTTTTGCACCAACAAAATAATAACACAAATACAAACAAACACTCACACACACACACAGTAACACTCACGCTTGTGTTGAGGCTCTCGTTCGCCGCGTTCGCCGTGTGGTAACGTTCGATGCCCAAGAGTGACTAACTCAAAAGGTAAGCAGCAACAATGAAGACGAAGCACACAGCACACACACACACACACACACACACACACGAAAGCAAGCGCAAAAGCAAACACACAAAACAAAAATAAAAACACAAAAGCAAAATGCGCCAAGGCGTCTGATAATACAGTTTGAGTAGCCACAGCGGCGTTGCAGTTTGGGCATGTCAAACTGTAGCCGTGAGATGCGAACAGCGTGAACCAGTTCAAGTGCTCTAGTTCAAGTTTAATTATAGTTGGCGGTTATTACTTTTTAATCTTACTTACTTTTTAATCTTACTTTTTAATCTTTTGTTAAGCTATCAATTATTTGTACTTTTTATGCAATGATAGCTGCATATCATTTTATACTAAGGAGTATTTGCTCATAATTAAATTATTTATCAATATTTTATAATTTAGCAATTGTAAATAATACAAATTATTTATTTGTGCACCAATAACAAGTTTTAGGTATGGCAAATTTTAATTAAGTTCATTGTTATGTTAATCAGAAGCGGAATGAGATTTTCGGCTGTTGCCAAAGTCACAGAACATCAGGAAAAATATCTAAGCAAGGGAAACCCCTTTGCCGGCGGGCAATACATAGATAATGAGGCCAGCTAATGGCAATAAAACTGCCAGACGCTACATACCAGCACACACACACACACACAGAGAGCCATAAACTTTTCACAGTGGACGACGCGACGTATGAGTAACGCGTGCCTCAAGGGCAGACACTTTGCCAAGCGAAAGTGAATGCGAATTTAAATAGCCAGCGAAATGGGGTTAGGGTATCACGCCGAGCAGTGGGAGGGAGAGAGAAAGGGTTGCTATGGTGTCACTCTCTCGATAGCAGCTGCCACTGCCACAGCCACTGCGAAATATTATGCAAAGCGCGTGCAAATGGAAAATGCGCCCAGGAATGTGTTGCATACTTTGCAGCAGCAGTTTAAGAATTCGCTAAACAATAACAAACAAACAATGRGCAGAGCAACAAACAAATTGCCAACAATAAACAATTAACAAGAGTGTAGACTAAGAAATATGCGAAAGAAGATAGACAAGAGCTTGTGCGTAGGAAAATTGTTGCATATAACGAGATTTTCCAGAGATATATTTGTTTTTGCCTATACTTTGTTTATTTTGGTGAAGGAAATGTTTATTCGCGAATTTTTCGGTTTAATTTTAACGGGGAAATTTTATAAGACTCAAATTGAATTTAAGGCCTAGAGAAAATTCGTATTAGCCCACGTTTGGGGGAAATTTATGTATTTGTGAGAAATATACGTCTAGGAGGGAATTTATGCGAATGTGTCGAATTAAATTTTCACTTGAGGGAATTTCTTTTTATGTGAGGAGCTTAATGTTAAGGAAAAAATTATATGTAAATTTATAATTATGTAAGAGAGGGAGAGAAAACGGGGGCATAAATATGATCAAATTTTTGGAATGATCAAATTCTTGGCCAATGACATTCATGCCTCGTTTGACAAAGGGTAGCAGAAAGCAGAGAACTTGGCTAAAAAACGCTTCCAAACTCAAAGAACAGGCAAACAGCAGCCAAGTGGAAGTCAAGAAACCAGTTTCAAATTGCATTCGATACTAAACGATCCGAAAAAATCAAAGAACACTCGTGATGGACTAAGAGATACCCTGCATGCTAAAACTCTTATAGTGAAAACTCTTGGAGAGGTGCGACGAGGACAGTTTTGCTCTTGTAATATACAAATAAATCTAACGGAAATTTATTAAGGTCTGAATAATTTCTATGATTAAATTAACATAGATATAGGACTTCTTATCAACATCCTATGTTACATACATAAACACAGCGAATACACTCCATCTACAGAAGCTACAGGGTATGCGAAATAACAAAGGCAACCTCAACAGGTAACCCAATGCACCTACCGAGAGAGAACCGAACCAGAAGTCGCAACACTTCAAGTCTTTGTATTTCCGTCAGCTGCCGTTGCAGCGAAACCTGAAACTGGTTTTATTTTAATTTTTTTCTCGTATATTTTGTTTGACAAAGGGAAAAGGAAGTGGTTTTTTTTTTTTCAGGTCTTGCCTGTTTGTGCGCCAGGATCAAGCCATCCTCAATTTTTTTGTGGAACTTGTTCTCAACTAGAAAYAACTCTCAACTCAGTTGCAGGGTAGAATACTCGCTCGTTTGATCGTTTCCAAGAAAAGAAGAAGATAAAACAGACAACAAATCCATTACCTATCTCTCTTTCTTTCTCTCTCTTTCCTTCGCTTGCAATTACAGTGTTTGGGGTAGATTGATTACAGAGAAGTTGCTGATGGGCATTATGCTTAAGCGTTGCTAATGCATTGCTACGCTCACTCACACACACACACGGACAGTTTACATAGCGCTATCTTGCTCGCGCGCCTTCCATGATCCCTTCCATGGTCACGGCTGCATGTAATTGCCAATAATCATGAGCCGCGACTTGGAAGTAATTTAATTTCCAGTGCAAGGAGCGAGCGCGGCGAAATTAAAGGCGAAACATAGGAATAGGCAACAAACAGCGAAAACCAATTTGTGTATGAAATATGCCAAAGGTGACTTTCAATTGCAAACTAACACACACACACACAGCTCTAGCTGTACATACATACATACAAATAAGTTCAAGCTGTGGCTTTTTGTATTTGCGAGCGTTTGCTGTGTTTGGGTTTTTGTTTTGTTTTGCTTTGCTTTGCATTKCATTGCCACTTACCTGCCGGAAAGAAATTGTTCAAGAACGTTGACATTTTCTCCTTTTTGCACCCTTCGCCTTCGCCAGACAGCAGCAACAACAAGAAAGCGTACTGCGCGCTGCGCTCACCACGTTGCTCTCTCGCTCACTCTATCTCGTTTGCTTGTGAACACTTTTCTGTTTGGTCCTGTTGTTGCTGCAGTTTTGCTTTTTGATCTTGTTTTGTTTTCGTTTTGCTTTTTTTTTTGTTTTTCTTTTTTTTTTACGTTTATTTATTTTCTTGACGTTTCTTTTATATTTTTACGTTTTTTTTTTAATTTTTTTTTTTCACAAGTTTTTATTATTAAATATTTTTAAGGTNTTATTGCTAGAGTCTCCAAATTTTTAATGTATGCTTATATGCAATTTATACAATTTCGGTTTTTGTTAAAATTTACCCCCCACCCTTAAATTCACCCCCTCACCCTCACTTTTGTAAAAAGCGTATTTCAAATACTAGAGACTTGGGCTTTGGAATATACACACATATTCACCATATGATTACGCTCTAAAAGTTTCATTAAGATCGTATGTCTACAAAAGAAATTATTTAACAAATAAATTCTCATAATATTGCCCACACTGCAGCGCAGCCCAAGCGCAGTCGCTGCTTACTGCGCAGTTAGCAGAGCGCAGGCTTATGCGTGCGTGTGGATGCATGTGTATGTATGTGTGCATAAAAGAAGTGCAGAATGATTAGAATATCAGCTTGRWKRGTTHAGGGTATHTCSTAGTCGAGCAGTCTCGACTGGAGCTTTCTTACTTGTTTTTGTTTAATATATTTAAGATTAGTTGTTTAGTTTTTAATTAGTTTGCTTGCAGTGATTAAAATGCATRTTTTATTTCGCAGGTGACACAAACGTTGAACTGTGGCCGAGCACGGGCTGCAATAATTGAGAAAAAAAGAAACAAAACGTTGATAAATGTGAAGTTTTATTGTAGCCTATTTCTACTGCTGCGCGACAGGCGCCACGCAACGGTAAACTAAACAGACTCCTAGTTAGTTGTATTTGATTTCTTTTTGTATTTGTTTGATATTGCAAAAAAAAAAACAGACAGAAAAAAAAACGAAAATCCGTGGGGGGTGTATACGAAGAAGCGACAAATAAAATCCAAAAAGCAACAGCGCCATCACAGAGGAAGAGGCAGGGGACGTTGCGGTGCGGTGAGGCGAGGGAAGTTAGGCAGAGTTTTGACTTTGCTCTGTTTGGATTTTATTTCATTTGTGTGCGTGACGCTCAACCATATACAGACACAAAATGCGCGCATATTTGCTTTTTACTTTTTCCCACTCTGATTACATACACACACAGGCACAAACACACACGCACTCATTTGATTTTCTTTTATTTTGGAGTTTCACATATTTATAGCATTTTATATTTATAACATTTTTGTATTTCGCATACTTTTCGCTGAACCTGCGCCAACATATTGCAAAAACTGTAAAGAGAAGAGCGTGAGTAGGAGTAGAAGAAAAGATTTTAACAACGCTCGCTGTTGTTGGAATTTTATTCATTTGAATTGTTTGTGTGCGATTGATTATGTATATTTATATATGCATGGGATTTTCAATTTTAATTGTATATTTCTTTTTGTTTTCTTTTGCTTTGATTACTAACAGTTAACGAGCGGGCGGCAAATAAGAAACTCTGCGCGAGTCAAAACACACACCGCGCGTATTGCGCTGCACGAAGGTACTGGAAAGACAGACGACGACGACRACGATGAAGAAGGTGACGGCAATTCAAGTGCCCAAGCGAAGCCAAATGGAGTCCACAACGAACCCTCGCCATATGTATTGGTGTTAGAGCGTGTGTGTACGTGCTGAATGTAAATGCGCAGATATGTGTGTATGCATGATTGAAACTCCGTGTCTGTGTGTGCGTGTGTTCTGAGCAGGGTAAAGGATTGGTAAGCGCAAATAAAAACAACAACAATTACAGCTGTGTTTTGTATGCAATGAAGCACACACTGTGGGCAATGCATAGATAAATGCCGTATAAATGTTATGATAACACATATACATATGTAATTATTTATACAAATAATTATCAGAGCTGTTCTTATTGCTAATTAATTTATTGTTTATTCGATTCCGGAAATTGCCGTATGATTTAACGCCACTGTGTGACAGGATAGACATTCTGCAGGATATACATTTGCATGTAGATACATATGATGTATGTTTGCTTATATATGTATGTAAGTACGCAGCAAAGCGAAGCCAAAGCAAATGCCGTTTTATAACATCAACACACACACATGCTGTCGTGCGCACGTACATTCATATATCTGTCTATTATTTTTGTGGAGTTAAACAGGATCCAAGCAGACTCAACAGCTGGCCAGCAACACATACATACACGAGCAGCAGCAGCAGCAGCAACAACAACAAATTACAACAGGTCAGCATCCACACAGACGTGTGTGCAACATGCCATCCACAGACAGAGCCATTGTTGTGGATGCTGAAACAGCTGGCAACAATAACTTGAAAGTAAACGCGTGTGGGTGCAAAGGGGGCTGGAAGAGTGGGAGCGCGTTTGAGCCCTGTTTAAAGCTAATGTTTGCTGCTGTGTTTCGTCTGGAACTGGAAGTAGCTAAAATTAATTTTGTCAACAAGTGACAAAAGGCCAAAGGTTATGGCCATTAACTTCAACACACATACACATACACATTTGAGTTTCACTGGAATAACATCAGGATTCAAACATAGACAAAAACATACATAAATACAAATATATGTATATGTATGTGAGACCTTTTAGCATTTTGAGGCTTGACTAATTAGTTGAAGTAACCATGCGAATAGAACACAAACAAGCAGAACAAGTTTCATTTGGCCGCACGCTTTTTTTACACGTTGCTGTTTTCTTTTTTGTTTTTGCAATTTTCGTTGTTGTTTTGGCGCACTCAAAATGTTAAGACGCAATTCGTTACACTGGTTAGTGTTGTGCCTATTGAATTTTATTATTACTTTTCTTTTAACTCACTTTTTGTAGTTCCTGGACAACCGCTTACACATTTGTTGTTGTCTACACTACAGATTGTGGCGGTCGGACAATATGCAATACTTTCGATAAATACTCGGTGCGCCAATTGAGCGGTGAGTAAATGCGATAGTCATCGATTTGTTTTAACATAGTTCTGTTAGGCAAATATTTAAATAAGAAGCGCGTCATCTATTTGCCATTGGCATATAAATTCCTAATAGCACTATAGTAAAGCTAATTTTGCTTATTGAAGCTATTCATAGTTTGTTTTATGTTTCCAATGTCGACTTAACATTCGAATTTTATTACAGTTATCAAGGAAAACATTTGACAGATTGTTATCACTGCTAAGAGCTCCATTCTTTTCCAGCTGTGGTGAGTTTCCAATAATTAACAGTACAGAGCGCTGAGAATTACATTTCCATTACATCAATGTTATTGTGACTGCTAAGAGTAGCGCCAATTTTCCATGTAATCCAAGAATCATACATTCAGCTTCATCGATAGAAGCAAATCTTTCGTTGCCATTTGGTAGGTGTGGATTCAAATATTCTTTGTCTTCCTAGCTCGTGTTCCATATACTTCTGAATCTGCTGTTCCACGTTGGAGCGCCATTTAAGTTCCAGAAACAAGGGAAACACTTCGCCCGCCTTCTTCAAGCGCCGTTCGGCTGTCTGATAACATTTCCATGGCTGTGGTTCCACGACGAATAGCTCTGCCAGGTTCGACAATTTACTCAAAAAGAACTGTAAGCCGCTGTCGTGATGATTTAGATGAATCCACATGGTTATTGAGTAGCAACAAATAGCATCGAATTTTGTGCGCTGCTGTTGCTGGAGGTAGTTTGCAATGATTTCATCAAAACTCCCCGCATTCAACACATCGCCGCAAAAGTAGCTTATTTTCTCATCGCACGCGTTTTCCTGCTGAGCGCGCTGGATGAGCCGTTCGTCTATGTCGATGCCCAGCATATGGACTGGCCGTTGTAGCTGCTCTTCCAGAAAGCTCTGCAGCAGCTGCGTAAAGACGCCACAATTGCAGCCAACATCTAGCACCAAATAAGGTTTATTTTCATTTGCTTCCATTTCTTGTTGCTGCTTCGGTGGCAGCCAAACATTTTTGTCGGGCAACAACTTAACACGCTCACTGGCTGAATTGAATTGATAATAATTCATAAAGTTTCCATATTGAACGGCACCAGGATTGTCATTGCGATGTTCCATTTCAATATTAATAGAAAATAGAAAGTAAACAAACTTTCTCGCTAAAACCACTTGTTACAGCTGTTGCTTGATGACCAATGATGATGATGACCATCGATACATCGGAATACATTGTTATATCGATACTCTTCTGCTATCAATAGCCGCCACATCTGGGCTATTGTCGATTTACTTCTGACATAGTATATTTAAGCATCGACAGCCGCGTCAACTAACTAGCTGGTATTATTGTGGTATTTTTTGTAGCACAAAAACAGTGCGCCAAATTTGAAATGTGAATTGAAAACACAAGTTTTTGTTTACCTTTCCATTTACTCTTTAATTTACTGCACTCAATTTGATGATCACATATACATATATATATAATTTATATATACGTATATACATATATTACTCTTAACAATTTTTTCACTGCTTACATTCCAAAAAATCTCGATAACATTTTGTAAAATTAACATTAATAAATGATTGCAAATTAATTTACAATGAATTCATATACGTATGTCGTATGTCTCTGTGTGTGTGCTCACAATAAGAGTTAATAACAACAAATTCTGGCTACACGTAAGCAAAAGACGGCGCAGATTATAGAAACTGAATTTAACCCACTAAGGGAACTAGGCAAAATTGCAACAGTCTGTTGAAAATCTGTGGCCAGGATTTGCTTAAGTGCCGCCAGTCAATTCAGAAAACCAGTTAATCTATATAGTAATATATATGTGTGTGTGTGTTATATAATACATAATTCATGATGTGAATTGAACTAATTAACACTAAATTAATATTAAACTATATTAACTATAATAATTAATCAACTATATTTTACGATTTGTATGCATTAGATATATATCTATATATAGTAGTATATATGTATATCTGAACTACAAACTAAATATATAAACGAGGTAAGTCTGAAAAACTTACGACTTTCGAAGGGGAAAAATCAAAATAAATTTGTATTCAAGTTCATATACATTAAATATATATATTTGCAATCACTAATTCTTCAGACTACCCTCGCCCATATTCTCATTTTTATTTATTTTGTTTTAATTATATTTATTTAGCGCTAATTCTACTGGAAATGTGTTTTTCGATTTCTGAGCTAAGTTCTGTTAAAGTTTATCGATGTGGAACGTGTGGAACGCGTGGAATTTGTGGAACTACAAACTTTTAACTACGCTCACAATGCCCCGCCCACTTGGTGTCTCTCTCTACTTCCCTCTTTGGCATTTATTAAGTTAAGTATTTAAACTAGGTTCTAGAATGCTACTGAATATGGACTTTTCGAAAGCTTTAAACGCCAAGCGTCTAGATATTTCTTGTTTTGTTTATTATTATTATTTTTTTTTAATAGAGTTGGGGGCTGAAACGGAAACGGAAATGGTAACGGAACTGCAGTCAAATAGAACAGAAATAGAATTTTGTTGTGATATAAGTTGAATACAGAATTAGACTAGGCATTAGTTGTTATTATCGATGATCGTCTATCGACTATCGATTATCGATTTTGTTGTCTATATGGGTATATAGCTAGATATGTATCACGCTATATACATACAGATATAAGCTCATAAATACACAATAATACATATACATATATATCAATAAATCCCTCGAATTCGTAACATAATTCTTTTCGTTTATGCTTAAAAAACTTTTACTAAATTGTAAAGCTTACGATCTACTAAATGAATATGTCTTTCAAATCTGTTTAGATGTTCGTGTTCGTGTTCTCTTTGTTGTTGTTAGTGGGTTCTGGGTATTGGGAGTAGTGGAAGTGGGGGTAGACGTACTGCCCGCCACTCCATTAAATATGCAACCATGTGGCCTAGAGGCAAGTACGGTTCAGTTAGTAGGGCAACTATATATATATATATAGATGAATTTCACATATATCTATATATATATGTGTGTATATATATATATATTGAGAGAGATGCATTTTACAACCAATTTATACTTGAAAATTTAACGGCTCTAGTCATCTGGGTCCAACCCGATTAGCTCCGCTTGCAATCTGCCCTTAGTCTTACAACAAATGGTTAAACAAAATACTCTCAATGCGATACGAAATTGGGGCGACATGCTGCACATGATCAAAATTTTCCAAAACGAATTCAATATGCCAATCCAGACGACAGCGAAATTGATAAGAGTATTTTGGATAACCTCGCCCATGACCACCTCGTATAGTCGCAATAATATCCATGGCAGCCAGGACATCCAGAATGCAAAGACTAATGCGAATGACATCATATGACTAGGGTTCGATAAATTTTCAGCCAATGCTGTTGCATATTCTTTATCATGTATCGGCTCGCCCGATCGTATCTTACGCATCATTACAAATATGTAGCCATAGTTGTGTACTATCGATATTAAGCTGGGACCTAACACTAATATCGCCAGCGTAGCGCTGTATGCCGCCATGTTGCCCCAGTCGAGCATGCAGATGTGCGATAGATTATTGACTATCGGCTGCGTGTAGCCGAGTATCGGCGGGCAGCACAACAGCGCCGCCGATATCCATGTGAAGACCATCCAGCACTGGCAGCTGCAAGACGAAAGGCATTAATCAGTAAATCAGTAAGCAATACGATCGCCAATCGCTTATCGATTATTGTCGCTCATCACTAACCGCGTCTTCGTCTGCACCGTTTCGTAGCGCAAAGGCTTGCGCACGGCCAAATAGCGATCCACCGAGATCCACATGAACGTGTAGACCGATACGGCCCACAGCGTCACCTCCAGGTAGCCGGTGAAACGGCACACGATGTCGCCGTACATCCATTCGCCCGTTAGAGCGGGATAGACTGAGAAGGGCACAACGAGCAGGCCGCATAGCAAGTCCGCGATGGCCAATGAGAGCAGATAGTAGTTGATGACCTCTGTGGGACCTAAGAGAGCGCAGCATGTGGAACGTAAGTGTGTTTGTGTGTGTGAGTGGAATGTGAGCTCGAAACTTACCTTTGAAATTTGCATACGTGGCGATGATTAGTAAATTGGATAATACAATTGCCACGCCCAGTATGGAGATGAGTACGGCTTTGGTGAGTGCCTCCAATTTGGAATTATCCTGCAGGTAGCTCATTTCCTGCATTTTTCTGCCCACTGCAAGCAGGTGAGAGAGTGGGTGGAGTGGGGAGCGGAGGATGTGGATGTGTGGATATGGTTGTGTGTGTGTGTGTTTGTGGGGAGGCTTAAGGTTATGCTAAGGCCAACAACACACGTAAGCCGCCTACCTCACTTCCTGTCATGACGGCCAGCAGTTAGCGTGTGGCGCCCTCTATTGTGCAATAGCCCAAAAAGCTAAATGCAAATGCACGACAAGGTCGCTGTCGTTGTCGCAGTCACAGTCGCCGTCGCCGTCGCCGTCGGCGTCCAAATTTTTTTTTTGGTGTGTGTGTGTTTTTGTTGTTGATTGATTATAAATTTGGTTTTCTTGATTTTTTTCCGTTAAGTTTGTAAACTAATTATTTATTTGCTTTTGTTTTATTTTTATTATTAACTTTAAAGTGGAAG